AGAAGTAGGCTCAGCAGTCTAAACTGAGTACAGAATTCTCTAGATCTATGTTCTCATATACCACCTCAGTTGACATGATTGGACAACCTAAAGAATTTCACTGCTGTAATTTTTTTTCTTTTGGTACCAGGGATCGAACTCGGGACCTTGTTCTTGCGAAGCAGGTGGTGGCACCACTGAGCTAAATCCCTGGCCCACTGCTGTAATTTTTAAATTTTAGTAATAACCTTCTATAATTTTAAAATAAAAATAAACATCTAATTATGTACCCCTATTCCCTATACTGCTTCAATGATTAAATGCTAAAAGTAAGAGATGGCATTTGTCATATTATTAAGACTCTTGTATAGTAACATTTTTCTGTGTTCTTTCATTTTCATTTGCAAATAAAGAGAGGAGTACACATGATAATTAGGAATATATAAAGAAGCAGAGTGAGAGCAGGGATTGTATTTTTAAGAGGCTTTGTTGTCCTTGGAGACAAACTCGAGAATTTTCTGGCTTTTTAAGATGCTCTTTTCCATGCAAAAATTCATTCAAAGTCTTGTTTAAATACTGTCTACTCCCTTGCACTTTATATTTTGGATGCATTCTAGCAAATTCCATGAATGTCACAAAATGAACTATCAAATAGAACATTATTTATTAACTATAGATTCATTTTAAATACATGAAAGTTTATTACTGGAATACATGTATTATGACCTAATCCATAAACCAAGCAGACTTTACTAATAAAATAAAGCACATTACATAGTAACATAATAAAAGATCTGAATTAGATCAGTAACTAAATTTTTTAATTGATTAAAAACTATTTACTCCAAATGGTTACTAAGCTGATTTAGGGGGTTCATATTAATTAAATAAAATTTGTTTGGAAGTTAAGTTATGATATGGAACAATATTTCAAAATATATGCTTTTAGGAACATACAGGTTTAAAAAGGATAATGGTTATGGGTTAATGGTTATGCTGCAAAGTCCCCTCTAAAGCTACTCTTGTGCATGTGATCATCAAAAAAGAAAGACAGATACATACTTTCATCTTCTGTATTGAACAGATTCAATGATTATCAAATCAAAATGGACTTGATAGTTGAAAGCATTGGCATTTTTCAGCTTGAAACTTTTTAATGTGTAGCAGACAATATTATTTGCATACATGACTTCTGCTTCCTGTTCAGTCCCAGGGTTAGAACCACAACTGGTCTGAGCAAATTGTGGCAAAATGCTTCCTCTCTAATAAAAGGAGAGAAAATAAAACAAGGAAAAAGGTTATTCACTTTTTATCCTTTCTCTCCCACTTTGGGCACTGTCCTAAAAGGACAAAAAACTTGTAGCTACATAACTATTTTCCAACAATGAGGTACAAGGCCAAGAAAATTATAAAGAGACTGACTCATCAGAGAAGAGACTGACTTGGGATGGTAGAACTGCTAAAACAACCTTTGAGCCACTACCTTTAAATGCTTTATTGTTTAAGCGAGGGACAGCTAGGCTTTTTGTTACTTGCAGTGGGATGTATTCTACCTGAAATACCATACAAATGCAGGGCTAGTGTTGTATCAGAGCCAGCACACACTGACTTGTGAAATGATGGTATCTATTTCTTTTCAATTCCACATTCACTGATTTAAAATAGCTTCAAATCATCTATGGTAGAAGCATTTACTATATGTGACTAGGTCAAAGATACATATGATATTTTTTTTCTTCAGAGAGCTGATTGTTAAGCATTTATCAGCAACATACCTCGAGGTGACTTACCTTACTCCTCCAGATAATGTAATTACAACTACTCTGCTAGCTGTCATCCTTAAGTGTACTTTTAATAGCAAATGGGTAATGAATTGTATGAGGACATTTTTAAGTTGTAGAGTTTTAGAACTAGTAGAGACTAGTGAATTTTAAAAAATCAAAATTAAGTATCAATTTGTTTAAAAACTAATCTAATATTACATATTACATGTAACCTAACATTATATAACTAGTTAATAGCAAACTCAAGTCTTATTATGGCTTGTGTCAAGATGTCCCCCCAAAGCTTCACGTGGTCATAGATAGTGCTTTTCAGAGGTGGCTGGATCTAGAGTGCATGATTCTGGATTAAAGATGTGATGCTGGGGTTGATTCATGGTGTAATGCTAGGATTATGAGTTACTCAACCTGGATGTGAGTGCTACCTGCTCTGAGAGTGGGGAGTCTGGATAAAATATAAGAGATAAAAAGAGGGCTGCTGTTGTCACTTCCTACTTCACTGCTTTGCTGCTCTCCTGCTTTCTGCCTACCATGAACTGTTTCTCTTCTGCGATGCCCCTCTGCCATGTTCTTGCCTTGGAGCCAGCTAACTATGATCTGAAACCTCTACGAAATGTGAGCTACAATAAACCTTTCCTCCTTTAACTTTGGGTGTCAGGTATTTTGTCTCAGCAATGAGAAAAGTAACAAAGATAAGTCCTTAATTTTTCTCCCCATTTTATTGATCTTTCTAGTATAGTATAGAGCCATTGTGTAATTTATATAATAGTAAGTCTTTATCTAGCCTCAAATCAAAATAGTAAGTTAGCAAGATACTCAATATAATGTGTATAATAAACAGTGTTTAATTACATATTCTAAATTTTGGTCTCTTTAGCAAAGATACAGACTTTAAAGAAGAATGACATATGGAAACTCTTGGCATGAGATTACAAGCTATCAACAACCTTTAATCATCATTATTCACAATGAGTCCTGATGAGTAACCGGATGATCAGAATTGGGTTTGGGTTACCCAAGTACAGCAAGCATATTCTCACAGATGAGGATCAGCTGCTCATAGCCCTTCTCCAAAGGCAGAAGAACTGCCAGTTGAAGCCTGCACTCCTTTGCTCAAGTGAAGATATTCAGACAATCTTGAAAGATAGAAACTGCATTGTGAGATGACATGAATTCATTTTTTTTTGGTACGGAGATCGAACTTGGGACCTTGTGCTTGCGAAGCAGGCAGCAGAACCACTGAGCTAAATCCCCAGCCCTGAAATGAATTCTTAAAGGCTATGAGATTGGACACAAGGGACAATGATAAGCCATATTCTAAAAATGTAGGTTTGAAATACCTGCCCAAATGTCTTTGCTACTTTTGCTAGCAAAGATCAGATACTGTCTAGAATACTTGTAGGATTTTCACAATGCAAGTCAAACTGAAAATCAATACATTTATGGAAAGCACTTGACAATATACTGCATATCAACAAACTTAAAGATGTTGCCTAATTTTGATTGCTGACTATGTGATGACATATGCAAATTTTTCATAAAATTTAGAGAAATGTTTATAATATTTGGCTCTGGAATTCCAATTTTTGTGATACGTTTTAAGGAACTATAGATGCAAATATTAGTGAACATTAATTATAAAGTTTTTAAAATTAATAACTATAAATTTCTAATAACAGGGGTATAGACAAATTATGATATATCTATACAATAGAGTGAAATAGATCCATTAGAATAATATTTTTAGGAATAGTTAATAAAAAGAAAATACTAGGGCCAAGGATTTAGCTCAGTGGTGCCATGCCTGCCTGGCAAGCTCAAGGTCCTATGTTTGATCCCTGGTACCAAAAATAAAATAAAATAAAATACTAAAAACACAATGTTAAATAACAAGACAGTATAATATGTGTATGTGTATATTTAGAAGATTGGAAGAAAATGCACTAAAATCAAGGTGTTCTTCATGATTATATTATTCCTCTATTTTTCTGAATTTTCAGGTTTTCTCTAATGAGCCTATATAAGCTTTTAAAATCAATTTTTTTCTCATAAAATCACTTATCACCTTTTACTTGTAAAAGCAATAACTTTTTTATTTTATTTTTTTTGGTACCGGGGATCAAACTCGGGACCTTGCGCTTGTGAGGCAGGCGGCAGAACCACTAAGCCTAATAACTTATTTCTTATGCCCAGCCCAATAGCTTATCTCTTATGAGGTCAATCTTACAAATAGAAAGTACAATGAAAAAAGAAGAAAGTATTTAGAAAATAACATAAAATTTAAAAATAGAAACAAAATTCCTTTAATTCACTTGGAGGAAATTCTGACAATAAAGGATATATGTGTTGCTGGCCTTAGTGGTCCATGACTGTAATCCCAGCACTTGGAAGGCTGAAGGAGGAGGATCACAAGTTTGAGGTCAGCCTGGGCTACAGAGTGAGTTCCAGGCCAGCCTAAACTAGAGAGCAAGACCCTGTCTGAAAAAGAAAAAAAAGAATATCTGTCTCGATCATCAATGAAGACTAGAAAGGAAAGCCATTTGTGCCCAAAGTAACCATCTCTGAAACTAAACAGATTGACCATGACATAAGGAAAGTAGAAAAAAAAGAAACAGATCCCTTGGCTGGAGGTCGGATAACGTTCTGAAGGAGTTGAGAGCTGAGGAGGAATGTTTTCAGAAGCAGCTTCCATCTGTGTGAAGTGATGGGGCAACAATGGGAAAAGGACTTGAAATGATTCTTGTTCGACACTCGGAATGCACTCTCCTCTTTGGAGTTATCAAGAAACTAAGTAAGAAAATAAAGAGTGAAGAGAATATTGTACCAATAATTATTCTCTGACTTCCCAACTACGTGTGTTTGAATATGAAAATTAGCCAAGTGAGGCTCGACTCAGTTTATCCAAATTATATCATGATCCCTAATTTAAAACCCTGATTGCCCCAGATATGTAGTTAGGTGGCTCTAGAAATCTGAACAAGTTTCTTACATGACCTTAGAAGCCTAAGTCAAGACTGTGGTTGTCAACATTTTTCCCCTTTGGCAACACACAGGACAGAGACATTCCCATATGCAACACATACTCTTGGTACATCTAGGATTGAGACCTTTCCATAACTCCAATTCTTTCTCTCCAAATAAAGAAATATCAGTGAGTTTAATGTTATTATTTTAAAAAGAACCGTTTACTACACTTTATATTTAAGGGCTACTCACTTATAAACTTCGGCTGTCTTGATAGGGTCATCTGTTGGGTAGAACGACTAGGTTAGCTGTCCTGAGACGCACACCGGGAAGCATGGCCATGTAAGCATTGTATCTTATTCCTTTTTTTTTGAATGTAATTGAAATCACTTTCAAAATTCCTGTCTATAATGATATTCAAAGAAGCTTATTAAAGTTGCTTGCAGTGCAGTCTTCTTTCAAATGAGATTATCTTGGGCAGTGAAGGCAGGTTAAATTGCTAGGGTCCCACACCCATCTGGGGTGGTCTTGATCTTTAACTTTTCTCTGAATGAGATTACAAATAATACCACTTGAAAGAAGGCTACACACTTTGATCTTAAATAGACCTTTTAGGGGCTGGGGATTTAGCTCAGTGGTGCCGCAAATGTCTTGCAAGCACAAGGTCCTGAGTTCGATCCCTGGTACTAGAAAACAAAACAAAAAAACAGGTGTTAAATAGACCTTTTATCTTGAAATTAAAATTATGGGTCAGAAGGAAGTAAAAATAATGGCCATAATATTTATTCATTTATTAACATTATTTAAATACTTACTATGTATAAGAACTATTCTTGGCACTAAATGATTCAGTGTTAATGAAGATAGGGCAAATTGATCACTGGGCTGGGGGTATAGTGAAGTGGCAGAGTGCTTGCCTAGCATGTGTTCAGTCTTGGGGTTCAATCCTTAGAACAGAGAGGGAAAAGTCTTAACTTTCATGAGGCTTTCATTCTAGTGGGTGGAGACTTTATCAGACTGGAAGCAAAATTGGAAGCATTGTTGGTTCATTTGCTCTCTTAATTTATTCATTTAGCTAATGTACTAAAAATACCTATTATGTGCTAGGGATTATAGGTACTTTCACATATATAATCTCATTTAACTTTTGCAACAAGCCTGACTAAAGGTATACTCTTATCTCTCTCTTTTTTTTAAGATAATACAGTTGACTTAATAGTAAAAGATAGGAAGCTGTGACGGTTAATTTTTAGTGTCAATCTGATTGGATTGAGGAACTTCTAGAAGATTTGTAAAGCATGTTTCTGGATGTGTCTGGGTGGGTCATGGGGATGTGACCTTGGAGACTATATCTGGTCCCTGGCTCCTTCTTCCTTGACTCTTCTCCTGCTTTCTGCTTCCCAGATGCCAAGAGTGAAGCAGCTTTCCTCCACTATGCCCGTCTGGCATGATGTTTCTGCCTTGGAAGCAGCCAATGATAGACTGAAACCACTGAAAGCATGAGCAAAAATATACTTCCCCTCAGCTTAGTTGCGGATGTCAACTACTTTGTTCCAGTAATTGAAAGGTAACGAATAACAAAAAATTGGGACTGAGTACTGGAGTTGCTGCTTTCACTGTACTTGATAACCTGGTTAAAAAGCTTTTGGAATTTCTTTGCAGGAGGAGTTTGAAAAGGTTTGGAGATTTGGGCTAGAATGCTGTAAGCAAAGTTTGATGGACAATAGTGGTAGCAGCTCAGAAGACCAGAATGCTGATAGCATTGTGAACAGTAAAAACAGTGCTCATAAGGTTTCAGATAGGAATGAGGACTTTTGGGAATTCAACTAGAGGCCATGCATGTTAAATTTTGGTAAAAAACTTCTCTACATTTTGTCCATATCCCAAGACTTCATGTGAGGCTGAGTTTAAAGATGGTAAAGTAATTTATCTGGTGGAGGAAATTTCAAGGCAGTATAATGTTCAGGCAGTAACAGTGCTGCTTGGTGCTTTTACCAGATTTATAATGAGAATCAGCAGCAAAAATTAGAGGCAAAAGATTTGAAAATGTTGAATTTCACCAGAAAAGAAGCATATGTAAAGTTGGGGCCAAGGAAAGTGTGGTAGCTGGAGAGATTCATGCCATTAAAAAGAAATCAAGCACTTTGCACTAAGACAAAAAAAAAAAAGATGCCTTGAGAACATCTCAGGAATCAGCAAGACCCTACCCATTGCAGGCTGAGGAGTGTAAAAGTGTTTACTCTTTGAAAGACTTTGCTTTGAGAAAAGAGGTCTAGGATGCCCTGCTGACTCAGGACAGCCTTAAGTAACCATGTAGGTACTCAGAGGCTGCTACAGCCATGAAACAAGAAGGCCAGGCCACTGCTAGCATTGGTGGCTGAAGTTGACATTATCCATGTGATGCTAGTTTTGCAGTCATCAGAATGAAAGAATCATGGGGCCATGAAGGTTTCTACTCAGATTTCAGAGGAAAGCACAGGAAGCCACACAGTGTGTGGTTGGCTAGACCTTGCCGGGGTAGCAGTCCTTGCCAGGGGCCCCTGAGAGGATGATACATAAAACTATGAGTGGGTAGCTGAAGCTGAAATAGAGACCTCAGGAGGTTGAAAATGTCAGAAATTTGGAATGTCTGCTGAGGAAAACTTCAGCAAGCAAAGCCCACCCAAGATAGAGAGACAATGTGGGCTACAATCAGCAAGATCATAGGAGTGGGGCTGCCCAAGGCCTTTGGACTTCATCTTGCCACCACATATCCGGATGCAAGACATGGAGCCACAAGGTTTAGTTTACTTTATTAGTTTCTGTCTTGCTTTGGTCTGATTCTTTTCTATTCCCTTTCTTCTTTCTTTTGGAATGGGACTGTTAACCATTGTTATCTTGGGAGTATTTAACTTGCTTTTGGAATTTTATAGGTATTCACAGGTAAGAGTTGCCTTGAGTCTCAGAAAAGACTTTTGAGTTGAATTGTTGAGCAATGTTAGGATTGGTGAGATTTCAGGAAAGGAATTAGTGCATTTTTTGTTGTTATTGTTGTAGGCAGCATTATTACATTAGGTTGAATCAGGATTGTGTATTGTCTCTATTTAGAGATTAAGTATGGTTTAAGGAGATGTGTTTGGGTGTCGATTTGGCAAGGGATGGACTTATGATTAGTTTTGATCATCAACTTGATTGGATTGAGAGCCACCTAGGAGATTAATAAAGCACACTTCTGGGTGTGTCTGGGAGAGTCATTAGGGGCGTGACCTTGGAGAATATATCTGATCCCTGGTCTCCTGCTCTCTCATACTTTCTTTGACTTCTGCTTCCCAGATGCCATGAATCGAGCAGCTTTTCTCCACCATACCCTTCTACTATGATGTATCTGTCTTGCAGAGAGCTGACCATGTACTAAATTTCTCAAGTCATAAGCCAAAATAAACCTCACCTCTTTAAACTGTGGGTGTCAGTTATTTTGTCCCAGCAGTGGAACGGTGACCAATACAGAAGCAATCAATATGTCCAATACAGAACATTTGCTATCCATGGTTTCCCTTATAATAATAAACAGCTATTATAAAACCTCCATGAATTCATATGGAAAGCTACCAAACAGAAAATGCTAACTTTACAGAAGGCAAAGAACAAGGTTTAAATCATCTTTTGTTTGTTTTATATACACATGTTTGTATATAAAAAGTACCTCTGTGACAGGTTACATAAATAATTGAACAGTGATCACTTCTGAGGGAGGAGATAGTGATTTAGGATGGGGAGAATACCTACTTTTAATTATATAGTCAACCTTTTGAAAGTCTGAAATGTTAATCACATACATTAGTTCCTTTTTTTCAATTAAAATGCTTTTTAAAGAATGTTTGGCCTTTAGAAAGCTTTAGGGATATGATTGGCTTGTTTATGGTCCTAGGAATTTAGTTTTCTGTTCCTCAGTTTAGGAATAAATTAAGTAAATATCATTTTAAGGGAAAACATATTTACTTGTGTATTTGTAGGTAAGTTATGTGTTGAAGGGCAGGTGAATCCTGAGTCAAACCTGAGAGTCCCAATGTGAATAGGAAGATTAGAAAAGATGTCAATGTTTCACTCTTTCACAGCACCTAGTACAGTTGGTAATTATAAGATTATCCAAGGATATTAGGAGTTAGAATGTGAGGCAGATGCTTTGCATAAAGTTAAGGTTTCTAGGGTTTATAATATGATTTGATCATCCTGGCTAGATGAAGATACAAGAGAAAGTGTGGCTTAGAATATATATTACTCAGTTCATTCATATTTCTAGTGGGAAGGCATAAAGCCCAAGTCTGCTATTTGGGAAATCCTTATTTTTGCAGAGACTGAATTCCCTTGCTTGCCATTTATCAGGAGTATGCTGATAAGCCCTATTCCTTTTCTTTCCTTAGCCTGTTTTCTTATTAATTATATACATATATTCAATAAAAATGTATATGTTTTAAAAAGCACCCCAACTATTTCACCCCAACAATACCCCAACTATTTCAAAACTTCATTTCATTTCATTTGTCATTTATTAATGGGCCTATTCCCCCCTACCCTCCAGACATATTTGAGGAAATTCTTTTAAATCTCTGGGGCTATTACTATATCTCTAGTTCTTTTCTTTCCTTAGAAAAATCAGACTCAGACTTTAATTACTCTATATAGTACCCTCTCCACCCCCATTTTTCTATTTCAAGTACTTTTTTCCCTCTTCTAAATCTAGTACTCTGAAAAATCCCTGGTGAGTTCAGGCTTTATGTATTTTTGTTTTGGGATATTTATCAGATGAATTATAATTAATACTGATTACTTCTAGGTTATTTAAGGATAGTCTAATTTTTTTTGGCTAACAATACAGGGTACAAAAAGATACAGCTTCTTACGTGGGCATTTCATATTTGCTTCTAATTTTTGACTGCTATGGGTCTTTTAGTTTTAAAAAAATAGGCTTATTTGGAATCCATTTTTAATAAATCTTGCTTCTTAAACATATTTAATTCTAAGGGCAATTTTAATGCTTTTTTGCTATTCAATATTAATGTGATATTATATAGCAGACTCAAGAAAAGAAAAATCTCTTTGCTATCAGAAGGATAGTGGAGGGCCAGGGATTTAGCTCAGTGGTGCCATGCCTGCCTCACAAGTGCAAGGTCTTAAATTCAATCCCTGGTACTGAAAAGAAGAAGAAGAAGAAGAAGAAGAAGAAGAAGAAGAAGAAGAAGAAGAAGAAGAAGAAGAAGAAGAAGAAGAAGAAGAAGAAGAAGAAG